GGACCAGAGATGACAATAATTTATTTATTTCTTTTTTTTTTTTCCTTGGTCCTGGGTGTCTGCTGTTGTGCTCCTAGCTAGGTAGCTAGGTAGACAGCAGAAAATTGGCGTGGTAGTGATTCAGGCCTGGGTAGGCCCTGGAGAGAGTCTGGGCAATGCTCTTGCTATCAAGGCTGGGTCAGTGGGACTGCTCTTCAGAGATGTTTATTTCCTCTTGACACTGCAAGATTCAATATGGCAGAGGGGAGGTGCCACGGGGAGGAAGAGCTCATTAAAGGAATGAGTCTAGACCACAAGTGAAATGTATAGCCCCTTAAGATGAGTATCATCACAAGAAAATGCCTCTGCTCACTAAAAATCACCAGTTCAGTTAAAGACTTTCTTAATTTAGTACAGCTTCCCTCACACCTAGACCATAAAGTACTCACCTTCAGCAAGTGACTCTCTGTAACTATTCCTTCTGCCACTCATTATTGGCGGTCTTCCTCAAGTCCCCCGTCCCCAGATGAACAGTACCTGTCCTTTGTCAGCTTTCTGTGATGCAGTACCACATCATAGTAAAAGCACACTTGATTGGGTGTGATTCCTGTCTCCTGTCTCCAGGTTTGATTCCTGTCTCTGCTATTAACTTGTTGGTCATGTGGTGTTGGACAGTCTTTTTTTTTTTCTATTTAAATTCAGTTAGCCAACATATAGAACACCTTTTGTTTTTGATATAATGTTCAATGATTCATTAGTTGTGTATAACACCCAGTGCTCATCCCATCATGTGCCCTCCTTAATGCCCATCACCCAGTTACCCCATCCCCCTACCCACCTCCCTTCTGTAACCCTCAGTATGTTTCCCGGAGTGAAGAGTCTCATATGGTTTTTCTCCCTCTCTTATTTCTTCCCCTTCAGTGAACAGTGAGTGAAATGATATGATAACTGACTTTCTCTGATTGACTTATTTCACTTAGCCTAATCCCCTCCAGTTCCATCCATGTCGATGCAAACGGTGGGTATTCATCCTTTCTGATGGCTGAGTAATATTCCATTGTATGTATGAACCACATCTTCTTTATCCATTCATCTGTTGAAGGGCATCTTGGCTCCTGCCACAATTTGGCTATTGTGGACATTGCTGCTATGAATTTGGGGTGCATGTACCCCTTCTTTTCACTACATCTGTGTCTTTGGGGTAAACACCCAGTAGTGCAATTGCTGGGTCATAGGGTAGCTCTATTTTTAACTTTTTGAGGAACCTCCATGCTGTTTTCCAGAGTGGCTGCACCAGCTTGCATTCCCACCAACAGTGTAGGAGGGTTCCCCTTTCTCCACATTGAAGTATAGTTGACACACACTGGTACATTAGTTTCAGGTGTACGACACAGTGATTTGACACGTCTATATGTCATACTATGCTCACCGCTAGTGTAACTGCCATCTGTCACCATGTAACACTATTACAATACCATTGACTATATCCCCTATGCTGTACCTTTTGTTCCCATGACTTATTCATTCCATAACTGGAAGCCTGTACCTCCCATTCCCTTTCAGTCATTTTGCCATCCTCTGGCAACCATCAGTTTGTTCTTGGTTTATTTGTGCTTTTTGTTAGTTCATTCATTAGTTTTTTTCCATTCCACATATAAGTGAAATAATATGATATCTGTCTTTCTCTGTCTGACTTATTTTACTTAGTGTAATACCCTCTAGATCCATCCATATTGTCTAAAATGGCAAGATCTTATCCCTTTTTTATGGCTGAGTAATATTCCACTGTGTGTGTGTGTGATTTTCTTTATCCATTCAGCTATCAATAGACACTTGGGTTGCTTCCATATCTTGGCTATTGTAAATAATCCTGCAATAAATATAGGGGTGCATATATTTTTTTGAATTGCTGTTTTCATTTTCTTTGGGTAAATACGCAATACTGGATCATTTGGTATTTCTATTTTTAATTTTTTAAGGAACCTGCATACTGTTTTCCACAGAGGCTGCACCAATTTACATTCCCACTAAGAGTGCACAAGGGTTCCTTTTTTCCACATCATCACCGACATGGACAATATTTCTGATTCACAGTATATTCCCTTAAGATAATACAGAGTTGTAATGCCAATCAAATGTAGTGGCATGGGCAGAAAAAAATAACAGCTAGCCTTTATTGAGTTCTTACTATAAGTATAATGAAACAAAACACTGTTCTAAGGATTTAAAATGCATACATTTACTTATTCTTCAAAATAGTCTGTGGTAATCTGGATTCTAGATACCTCTCATGGCTTTCACCCATGGTGTTACTTCTGTGATTATGTTACTTGATGTGACAAAAGCAACTTAGAAGGCGTGATTACATGACTGATCAGTTGACCTGATGATAGGAAGATTATCTAGGTGGGCCTGGATATTATAATCATATAATCACATGAACCCCTTTAAAGCCAAAAGTTTTCTCTGGCTATTGGCTAAAGAAGTCAGAGAGATTCAAAGCATGAGAAGGGCTCACCTCGATTGCTGCTTTAAAGATGGGGTCACATGAAAAGAAGCCTGGAGAGCCTCTTGGAGCCGAGGATGGGGCCTGGGCTGACAACCAACAAGGAAGCAAGGACCTCAGACCTACAGCTATCAGGAACTGGGTTTGGAAGTGGATTCTTCTCAGGGCCTCTAGATAAGAGCCCAGGTGGCTGCATATTGGCTTCAGCCTTGTGAGATCCTACATACATAACCTGGTTGAGCCCACCCACAGAACCATGACATAATAAATGGGTGTTGTTTTAAGATGCTAAGTTGTGACAGCAATAGAAAACAAATACAAACCACATGCAGTAGCTACCTTTATTATTTGCCCAATTTGCAGATGCCCAAACTGAAGCACAGAGAAGCAAAGTCACTTTTCGGAAGTCTCACAGCTATTAAATATCAGAAGTGGGATTTAGGGGCGCCTGGGTGGCTCATTCGGTTAAGCGTTTGCCTTTGGCTCAGGTCATGATCCCAGGGTCCTGGGATCCAGTCCGGCTCTCTGCTCAGTGGGGAGCCTGCTTCTCCCTCTCCTCCCCTTTCATGCTGTCTCTCGCTATCCCTGTCCCTCTCTGTCTCTCTCAAATAAAATAAAATCTTAAAAAAAAAAAGAAGTGGGATTTAGTAGTCTATCCCCAGAGCCCATGCTCTAACCCAGTGACACAGTGCCTGAGACATTTGTAGGTACTCAGTGCATATTAGTTTCCCTTCTCTTTTCTGTTTCGCGTAGTGCACGAGGCACCTAGCTGCCACATTTCTTGATTTGCTGATGGGGGTTAGCTAGTGCTGTGCCAGTGGGTTCTGGATAAAGATAGAATACTTGAAGCATTAGTTTTACTCACAGGAGTAGGTCTTTTTATACTGTAATGAACCGGAATACTTCATAGGCTAAAATGACAAAAAGACAAAACCAGAGATTTCATAGGTAATTTGTTTTTGATAATCTCTTTACTGTGGAAGATATTTGACTGAAAAACTTGGAGAAGCACTGAGCTGATATATATTCCAACTAATTAGTTTAACACTTTTCCTTCCCATTTTATTTCCTGAATTCACAGTGACTTTGCTGTATCAGCTAGAATTCTGGAATGCGAATCCGGAAATCTAGACCAGCTATGCATTACCATCCATCCATCTTCTTCTATTCATTCAGTCAAGCAAGATTTACAGAGTGCTTCTGTAATGCCTGGGGTGTCTCTAGTACAAGGTTGCTTGTGAAGTAAGGCAGACTTTTCTAGCTCTGCTCCCTTGCATATAAAATTAGGTGATTTGACAAACTTTCTTTAGGGTCTCTGTCTATGGCCAATCTAACGCTTTTACAGTTCTTGTATGACCTGACTTCTGGATTTGACAAGGTAGGGCAATGTTTCTCCAGATCTGGCCTAGGCATCACCTACATCACAGTCTCCTGGGATGCCTAATAAAAAAGCAGATCCTGAGGTTGCCCAAACCTTCTGAATCAGAAACACTGGGAATGGGGGCCCAGGACTTCTGATTTTAAACAAGCTCTCCAGGTCTTTCTTATGTACATTAAAGTTTGAGATGTGCAGCTCTAGGGATGCAACATAGGCCTTGTGTCCTAAAAGTTATATCCCTCATTAAAAGACAAGCCTATAGGTCTGGGAAGAAAAACAGGGCCACACCTGTCTGTGTCTGTCTCCGGCTTGACCATCCTTTCCCACCCTAACCCCTCACCCCAGCCAGGGTCAGGGAGGGAGCTGTGACTGTGATTATGGAGCTTATCTGGCCCAGCCTCTATGCCTACAAAGTCACCTCTCCCCTTCTGGGGCACACCTGTGCCTGCTCCATTCAATAACAGGGGTTAATGTGAGGAGAGGAGTGGGAGTCTCTCCTCCCAGGCTCTGGAGCCTTTTCCCTTTCCCAAAGGGAGGGTGGGGGAAAAGCCGGTGGGGGCGCCCCCTGGGCCGCTCGCGCCTCGCAGCGGCAACTCGCCGGGGTCAGTCCGCGGCCCGAGGCAGCCGCCTTTCCCACCTCGGTTCGGGCCCAGGAGGGGGAAACTGGGGAACTGGGTCATCCTGGCCCACCTCCCCGAGCGGACCCTCCCCGCCGTCGCCTCCCGCTGTCCAGCCGGGCGGTGTCGCCGGAGTGGCGGTGCCCGCGGTTGGTCCGGGCGGGTGCCTGCGCCGCGGCGCTCTGCGCCCGCTGCCCTTGCCCGCGCGCTCCGCCGTTCTGCGGAGCCGTTGGCCCTCCCGCCACCCCCTCGGCGGGGCCCTTCCCTTTACTATGGTAATGGTGACATTCAGCGGGAAAGGCTAGCGCGGACCGCAGCGCCCGGCTCCCGCGGCGCGGGAGGCTGGGTCGGCGGAGCG